CACTTCCCCACGTCTGATGGAAGACAGCAGGCGATCCTGTGAAGCATAAAACATATTTTAGCGAAGGCCTTTGTGCAGCTCCAGCTAAATACAGAACTGAACCATTGCTGTTTGGGCTGCAGAACTTGCAATGTTGTTCTTCAACAGCAATCGGCCGCGAGAACAGCAGTTAACTGCACCCAAGAATTCTTGTTGATTAAGTTAGAATAAATTTTTTAAATAATAACTTGTACGAGCTGAATGTACGAATAAAAACTCGTTCGATTAACTTGATACAGCTCTAACTAAAGTTAGAATAACTTGATCCAGTTATAACTAAAGTAAGAATAACTTGATACAGTAATAACGAAATTTAGAAAACTACATGCAAATGTCAACATTAATAAATGAATCCAATATAAATGAGAGAGAGATTGAGAGAGAGAGAGAGAGAGAGAGAGAGAGAGAGAGAGAGAGAGAGAGAGAGAGAGAGAGAGAGAGAGAGAGAGAGAGAGAGAGAGAGAGAGAGAGAGAGAGAGAGAGAGAGAGAGAGATAATGAATTCCACAGATACATTACAGAGGCGGATGAGACAATCTCAAACAATCTCAATGAAGGGGACGGAGGGTATAATTGGAAGGTAGCTGAGCTTCCAGAACCACAGCCATGGGACTAAGTCATTACTGGAAGCCGCCAAGCCGGGTCTCTGGAGTATAATCCGTTACTCTCTGGACTCCCGCGCCGCTAACGGCATCTTCCAGGCCAGCTGATATCTGCGCGCCAGATTCAAACTAGTACACAACCCGTCCGTCCGCCTAACGGTTTCCCCAACGTTAAGAAACTGTCATACTAAAAGTGGCCCTTTATCCTAACCTACCAGAGGACCCGTAACAGAAAACGGGACGATATGTCAGTTTCACAAGCCGATTTCATTTACTAATACGATTTTTTTTGGCCTTAGGCCTCTAATTCAAATTTAAAAAAAAAATCATAAATTTCTGTACATTTATAACAAGAGTTACTCTACATAAAATTACAGTAAACCATCTATCTAAGATAGCCATGATAGCAGCGAACTTAAAGAATACTAACGAACTTGGATGAAACAAAACTGTCAACTCAGTCGCCCAAATGATCAGGACTTTAAATGATCGATCATTTGCAGAAATTTTAGTTCACCCAGAAAATAATGAGTGAAAAACCATAAATTAAATTACAAATCTAATTTAATCTTTTAATTTTTTTTAAAGATGAAATTAATCTTTTAGATTAAATCAGGATTAAGTTTTTTTAATCCCGATTAATCTTGCGTGAAGTTAATACTTAATTTTAGCTTTGGTTCTGATTGATCGGTTGCCGTTATTAGTCAGACCGGATGTCGTTATTGATTAGTTTTTTTTAAATAAACCGTTTTGATTGACAGGTCAAGTATACTTGTGATGACAGGCCGTCGAGACGAATTGGGTATACCAACAGCAGAGTGGATCACAAGCCACGTCACTACTCAATCGCCAGAGAAGGAACACATAGAGGGAGCCAAACCACACCTGTCAAAGTACATTATAAACCTCTTAGAGCACCTCACACACCTGTCAAAGTACGTCACAGACCTCTTAGATCATCTCACACACCTGTCAAAGCATCTGCCACACACACACACCCCTGTTACATGTCTGTTAAAACACCTGCCTCACACCTCTTAAACCACGTACCACACACTTGTCAAACTACGTCACAGACCTCTTTAAGCACCTGTCAAAGCATCTTCTAGACACCTGTCAAAGTACTCGCCACACACACACACACACACACACACACACACACACACACACACACACACACACACACACACACACACGCACACACACACACACACACCCATCAAAGCACCCTTAACTCACGAAAGGAAAGTCAATCTAAATTAGCGAATGAAATACTGTACTTATAGCGAGAAGTTGGTCTGCCAGCCTCCCTCGCCCCCCTCACTCGCTACGAGACCCGCACCAATTACCTGCTCGTAAGCGAGCCCAGGAGCTTATACCCAATCACGCACGATGATAGTGTCTTCGTCAAGGAGCTCCCGGATACTCCTATTGACACAGGTCTAGACAGGAGCAAGAGGGGTGTACATAGGACTGCTCCTAGTGAGACATCATCAAAGGGATATATAGGAGAAAAAATTAAGATCATATAATGGGAGTGAACTTGCATATCTGTTCAGGACTCTGGAGTATAATTAAATATAATTGGTCCTGTTGGGAGTCATCGAGACATCGCTGTAACAGAACTCGCGCCGTTATGAAATAAAGAAACCCCGGTAGAGCTACGGCCTCGCTTCTTGCAGGTCGGCGTTCGATCCCGGATGGTTAGAGAGGCATCGTTCTCTCACTCAGTCATATATTAGTTCGCGTCATGTCCTCGTATCCCTTCCATGTGCTATGTAGTCATGTCGGCATGAAGTGGCCTTCTTAGTGGGGCCTTCTTAGTGGGGCCTTCTTAGTGGGGCCTTCTTAGTGGGGCCTTTAGACGTTCGTAAGAATCTGGGGGGGGGGATAAGAACCAGCTAGGACGGGAGCTTGCAACAATAACAACAGTAAGAGCCAGATAATTCCTTATCGCATTTATATAACTGCATATATTAAAACACTAACTGTACCCGACCTCAACAACCCTCCTTCTTTCACCCTGTCCTCCCCACTATTCCCCACTCCCTCATCCCCTCATCCTTCCTACCATCCCCCCGTCCCGTTGTCCACCCCACCATTCCCCCCTCCCCCGTCCCCTCACCCCCCCAAACCAATCCCCCCCTCTTCGTCCCCTCGTCCTCTCCCCAATCATCCCTCACTCTCCCGTCCTCCCCTCCATTCCCCTCTCCCCCGTCCCCTCGTCCTCCCCCACTATCTCCATTCGAATGGAACGTTGTGTCAAAATTTCAACGCAATCAGTAGAGAACTTTCGGAGATTAGCGATTCTGAATAAACGAACATTTGCATTTATATTAATATAGATATAGAACATACTAGTCACGTATGTAAATAGTTATATATAGAATAATGTTATATAATAGTTATGTCGTACCTAGTAGCCAGAATGCACTTCTCAGCCTACTATGCAAGGCCCGATTTGCCTAGTAAGCCAAGTTTTCCTGAATTAATATATTTTCTCAAATTTTTTTCTTATGAAATGATAAAGCTACCCATTTCATTATGTTTGAGGTCATTTTTTTTTTATTCGAGTTAAAATTAACGTAGATATATGACCGAACCTAAAAAACCCTACCTAACCTAACCTAACCTATCTTTATAGGTTAGGTTAGGTTAGGTAGCCGGAAAAGTTAGGTTAGGTTAGGTTGGGTAGGTTAGGTAGTCGAAAAACAATTAATTCATGAAAACTTGGCTTATTAGGCAAATCGGGCCTTGCATAGTAGGCTGAGAAGTGAGTTCTGGCTACTAGGTACGACAGTTATATAGCTAGAATAATGTTATATACCTACTATATAGATGTCTCACGAGGCGAACACGAGGGCATTGTAGGGGGAACTACACTACACGCCAATTACAGCTCATCCTCCTACGATAAAAGAACTAATAGCTGACTTAAGTATTGCTGAATTTGGACAAACTACAAACTCTCTCAATGACAACAAACATATAAGACCTAATGTAACCTCTGGAGGCCACTACGGGCTCACCATAGCCCGTGCTGCTTGGCACTTTTTGTTCCAGGTAGCGAATCTTAAACAACAACAACTCTTCTAGCACTCCTAGGCCTAATATACGCTGTCGTAGGCCTAATACAGCACGTATATACGCTATCGTAGGCCTAATACAGCACGTATATACGCTATCGTAGGCCTAATATAGCACGTATATACGCTATCGTAGGCCTAATATAGCACGTATATACGCTATCGTAGGCCTAATACAGCACGTATATTCGCTGTCGTAGGCCTAATACAGCACGTATATACGCTGTCGTAGGCCTAATACAGCACGTATATACGCTGTCGTAGGCCTAATACAGCACGTATATACGCTGTCGTAGGCCTAATACAGCACGTATATACGCTATCGTAGGCCTAATACAGCACGTATATACGCTGTCGTAGGCCTAATACAGCACGTATATACGCTGTCGTAGGCCTAATACAGTACGTATATACGTTGTCTTAGGCCTAATATAGCACGTATATATATATACAATTCTAGGAATATTTAAGTATGTATTTCAGCTTTTTATTTTTTAAGACTGGAGAAAAATCTAGTGCAACAAATAGTTACTGATGGTCCTTCACTACATATTGGTACTTTCGACCAAATACCTAATGCAAGTACTATAATTTCAGGAGGATGGTTATAAAGGTTAATAAATACATATAAATATATAATATATAAATAAATATATAAAAAATAAATATATAAAATAAATAAATAAATATAAAGGTTACGCAACTTAATAGCCTTATATAATGCTTCAGACTACAGCACTCTCATCTTACCTGTGGCCAATGTCCGTCTTTCTCAAACATCACACGAATACAGAACTGCAAATGTGTTTAACAAGACAGTCTCGAGACGCAAACCCAAGCTCGTCCTCCTAAGGTTCCCCAGCGTGATGAAAACGGTCAGTTTAAAGTGTCGTCTGCTAACCTACCAGAGGACCCAAAACAGAAAACGGGGCAGTAACGTCACTTTCGCCTGCCGCTTCCATTTTTTTCAGTACGGCAATTTTTGGCCTTATGAAACGCATACCAGCGAAAAGTGACGTTCTTTGTTGGAGGACAGGTTGGGCAATACAGTCTGAGGGACACCACAACTAGGCAGGGACACCACAATACAGTCTGAGGGACACCACAACAAGGCAGGGACACCACAATACAGTCTGAGGGACACCACAACAAGGCAGGGACACCACAATACAGTCTGAGGGACACCACAACAAGGCAGGGACACCACAACAATACAGTCTGAGGGACACCACAACAAGGCAGGGACACCAGGGGGGAGGAGGGAAGGTACTCACCCAGGAGCGTGCTGTTAGTGATGATCTGGAAGATCTTGCCCGGGTCCATCTTGACACGGTAACCCGCTAATCAAAGCCTTTCTCGGCTCACTCTCAGCTCAAGGCTCACTCTCAGCTCAAGGCTCACTCTCAGCTCAAGTCTCACTCGCCCAAGTCCCCTTCTAGGTCCTGGTTTAAACTGCCAGTGTTTGTCGGTGTTGTCTTGTGAGAACAGACGATGGTTCGGCTAGTATAGTGCCTCGCTGGCACTGTGTGATTCACATTTAAGTGCCGTCTCACCCGGCTGGGAAACCTACCCTCTCACCCGGCTTGGAAACCCCCCCTTTCACCCGGCTTGGAGACCCCTCCCCCCCCTCTCACCCGGCTGGGACACCCCCCCCCCCACCCTTACCTATTTTAACCTTAAATGACGGAAAAAAAATATCAAGAAAATTTTTACACATAAAACTTTCCAATGCTTGTGTAATTAGATATATTTTCCTTCCATATTGGCTTTTAACCCCCTTGAGGCGGACGGTGCAACCATAGTAGCAACTTTGATCAAGAACTGCAACATTAAAACATAATATTTAAATGTCTCAATGGGTAAAAAAAATATATAAAAACTACTTTTTTTTTTACTTTAAGTGACGGGAGTTACTTTTTGTTTTTAAATTAAAAAAAAACGACGGGAGTTAAAGCTACTTAAAATTGCCTATGGCTTTTGAGGACTATTTTATTGATAATTTAATAATAATAATAAAAATAATAATTATTATTATTATTATTATTTGCCCCCTTTGCCTCTGATAGATGGAGGTCTATCGAGCTCGCCATAGAGTTATGACGATTGCGAGACAGTGTATACACGTGATCAAGTACACTGTCGTGTGTACTTGTTCACGTGAAGGTACACTATTGGGTGTACTTGTTCACGTGAAGGTACACTATTAAGTGTACTTGTACACGTGTAGGTACACTATTGGGTGTATTTGTACACGTGTAGGTACACTATTGAGTGTACTTGTTCACGTGAAGGTACACTATTGGGTGTACTTGTTCACGTGAAGGTACACTATTAAGTGTTCTTGTACACGTGTAGGTACACTATTGGGTGTACTTGTACACGTGTAGGTACACTATTGAGTGTACTTGTTCACGTGAAGGTACACTATTGGGTGTATTTGTACACGTGTAGGTACACTATTGAGTGTACTTGTTCACGTGAAGGTACACTATTGAGTGTACTTGTTCACGTGAAGGTACACTATTGGGTGTACTTGTTCACGTGAAGGTACACTATTAAGTGTTCTTGTACACGTGTAGGTACACTATTGGGTGTACTTGTACACGTGTAGGTACACTATTGAGTGTACTTGTTCACGTGTAGGTACACTATTGAGTGTAATTGTTCACGAGTGCAGAAGTACACTTTTGAGTGTATATTTGAATACACGTAGATACGCCATCGAGAATGTGAACACTTGAGGCTGTTAAGTACACCTGCAAAGTGTACCTGAGCACTTGAAGTAAGTGTAAGTACAGTCACCAGTAACCAAAGCCAGAAAAGTCACCAAACAGGAAAGTATAATAAAGTTATTTAAGCTAAAATGCTACTTAAGTAGTAGACTTAAGTAGTAGACTTAAGTAGACTTAAGTAGACTCAAAGTAGCCGTGAGGGAACGTCATTGTATTGCACTATGACGTATTTAAGGTGAAAAATGCGATAATAGAGTGGTTCGGTTTGGCACTGTAGTGGAACTGGGCAGTTTGATACTTTGAGAAAGTCATTTACTGTGGCACTTAAAGGAAGTCAATCAGATCAGAGTGAGCCGCTATTGGTGAGACTGGGGAAGCCGCTCAGCGTGGCACTGTGGGAGAGCCGCTCAGCGTGGCACTATGGGAGAGCCGCTCAGAGAGGCACTGTGCCAGGGAGCGCCGACAACTGCGTCCAGAGACGGGCGGTGAGCGACTGTGGCCGCCTCCTGCCCTCCCTGGCTCTCCTCCACCCCCCGGCCCCCCCCGGCTGCTGCCACCCCTGCTGCTGCCACCCCTGCTGCCACCAGCTGCCCTCACCCCTGCTGCCACCCCTGCTGCCACCAGCTGCCCTCACCCCTGCTGCCACCACCTGCCCTCACCCCTACTGCCACCAGCTGCCCTCACCCCTGCTGCCACCAGCTGCCCTCACCCCTGCTGCCACCAGCTGCTGCCACCAGCTGCCCTCACCCCTGCTGCCACCAGCTGCCCTCACCCCTGCTGCCACCCCTGCTGCCACCAGCTGCTGCCACCAGCTGCCCTCACCCCTGCTGCCACCACCTGCCCTCACCCCTGCTGCCACCAGCTGCCCTCACCCCTGCTGCCACCAGCTGCTGCCACCAGCTGCCCTCACCCCTGCTGCCACCAGCTGCCCTCACCCCTGCTGCCACCCCTGCTGCCACCAGCTGCTGCCACCAGCTGCCCTCACCCCTGCTGCCACCAGTTGCCCTCACCCCTGCTGCCACCAGCTGCCCTCACCCCTGCTGCCACCAGTTGCCCTCACCCCTGCTGCCACCAGCTGCCCTCACCCCTGCTGCCACCAACTGCCATCCCTGCTGCTGCCACCAGCTGCCCTCACCCCTGCTGCCACCAGCTGCCCTCACCCCTGCTGCCACCAGCTGCCCTCACCCCTGCTGCCACCAGTTGCTGCCACCAGTTGCTGCCACCCCTGCTGCCACCAGCTGCCCTCACCCCTGCTACCACCAGCTGCCCTCACCCCTGCTGCCACCAGCTGCCCTCACCCCTGCTGCTGCCACCAGTTGCTGCCACCAGTTGCTGCCACCCCTGCTGCTGCCACCAGCTGCCCTCACCCCTGCTGCCACCCCTGCTGCCCTCACCCCTGCTGCCTCCCCTGCTGCCACCAGCTGCCCTCACCCCTGCTGCCACAAGCTGCCCTCACCCCTGCTGCCACCAGCTGCCCTCACCCCTGCTGTCACCAGCTGGCCTCACCCCTGCTGCCACCACCTGCCCTCACCCCTGCTGCGACCACCTGCCCTCACCCTTGCTGCCACCAGCTGCCCTCACCCCTGCTGCCACCACCTGCCCTCACCCCTGCTGCCACCACCTGCCCTCACCCCTGCTGCCATCAGCTGCCCTCACCCCTGCTGCCACCAGCTGCCCTCACCCCTGCCGCCACCACCTGCCCTCACCCCTGCTGCCATCAGCTGCCCTCACCCCTGCTGCCACCAGCTGCCCTTACCCCTGCTGCCACCAGTTGCTGCCACCAGCTGCTGCCACCCCTGCTGCCACCAGCTGCCCTCACCCCTGCTGCCACCAGCTGCCCTCACCCCTGCTGCCAACACCTGTCTCACCTGGTTGCGGAGTAAGGGGGAGGGGGGAACCCAGCATCAGCAACAGGTAGTGACACACAGAGACAAAACACGCACACTCCAAGACGCAGGTGAACGCTAGCTACCCCACGCGCGGCGAACCTTGCTAAAGGAGACGAGCAAATACTCGCTAAAGACCGGAGAGTGAGAATAGTTTCAAGTGGTTTTCAGAGTCATTAAGACGCGGCTAATGAAATGGGGGGAAGGGGGTGGAGGGAGGAGGGGGGTCTGGAAGGATTGGAGGATGTGGGGGGGGGGGGAAGTGGACTTATAACCTAAATACTATAACCGGCGTAGAATCTTTGAAGTCGTTCTCCAGCTGATGAGTAGTTTTTCGTGCTACAAGTTAGATTAGCGGAGGTCAAAGTCTTTAGTGTGAGGTCACACTTGCAGGCCGGGGTGAAGAGTGACTGATGGGGAAGAGGGGGGGGTCTTGGAGTCGAAAGCGTGCAGGTTGTATGTACAAGGAGTAAGGGCACACTAACCCAGGGGTTGGTTTAAGGGCTTCTTGGTTAGGAGTTACAATGTTGACCATTTAGGGGGTTCAGTGTCAGTGTGGACAGGTTAGGATCTTAAAGATGTGGACTGGTTAGAGTCCAGCGCGTGGACCGGTATGTCCTGGGTGGACTGGGAAGTGTATAGTGGTTAGTGTATAGTATAGTTAGTGTACTATACATCAAGCAACGAATGTAAACGCGTTCCTAACTGCAGACTCCTCTGGGTGTCCAAGGGACTTCAGGGGAGTCCTCAAGTACTTTAGTGGAGTCTTCGGGGATCTCTGTACGGTCTCAGGGTCCTCAGGGACTCCTGACCAGGCGCCAGGGTAAACACTGCGAACAAAAAAGTTGAAACTAAAGTGTTGATTTTAAAAGTCACACTTTTAAAACGCTGAACTGAAAGGAGGAGGACCCAAGTTTGAATTAAATTTAGATGTTAGAGAAACAGTTTTAAAGCGTTAAGTTTACAATCATGAGCCCCGAGTCCGAGCGCTGAGATCCGTCGGTGTAGAGGAAGAAGTAGTAGTTTATGTCATAATTTTCCCGAAGCCTTAAAACTCTCACGTACAGAACATTACTCTATACAGAGCCCCTTTTTGCCTTCTCCTTTTTCTGTACTCTAGATGTTAGCGAGCATGTACTCAGTCGGTGGTGCGGGAGACAAGCACCTGGCCGTTCTCTTGACCTGCCACAACGTACACAATACGTTGTACTAACCTCACCAGACACGGACGAACCCAGAGGACGAGCCAGTGGACAGTATGGGGGAAAGGCACCACTCCAGACACTCCAGTGGGTGTAGACATGGGGGGAGAACACCACACCAGTGGGTGTAGACATGGGGTAGGACACCACACCAGTGGGTGTAGACATGGGGTAGGACACCACACCAGTGGGTGTAGACATGGGGTAGGACACCACACCAGTGGGTGTAGATATGGGGAGGACACCACACCAGTGGGTGTAGACATGGGGTAGGACACCACACCAGTGGGTGTAGACATGGGGTAGGACACCACACCAGTGGGTGTAGATATGGGGTAGGACACCACACCAGTGGGTGTAGACATGGGGTAGGACACCACACCAGTGGGTGTAGACATGGGGTAGGACACCACACCAGTGGGTGTAGACATGGGGTAGGACACCACACCAGTGGGTGTAGATATGGGGAGGACACCACACCAGTGGGTGTAGACATGGGGTAGGACACCACACCAGTGGGTGTAGACATGGGGTAGGACACCACACCAGTGGGTGTAGATATGGGGAGGACACCACACCAGTGGGTGTAGACATGGGGTAGGACACCACACCAGTGGGTGTAGACATGGGGGGAGGACACCACTCCAGTGGGTGTAGACATGGCTACACACACTCTCTCTCTCTCTCTCTCTCTCTCTCTCTCTCTCTCTCTCTCTCTCTCTCTCTCTCTCTCTCTCTCTCTCTCTCTCTCTCTCTCTCTCTCTCTCTCTCTCTCTCTCTCTCTCTCTCTCTCTCTCTCTCTCTCTCTCTCTCTCTCTCTCTCTCTCTCTCTCTCTCGCTCTCTCTCTCTCTCGCTCTCTCTCTCTCTCGCTCTCTCTCTCTCTCTCTCTCTCTCTCTCTCTCTCTCTCTCTCTCTCTCTCTCTCTCTCTCTCTCTCTCTCTCTCTCTCTCTCTCTCTCTCTCTCTCTCGTCTCTCGCTCTCTCTCTCTCTCTCGCTCTCTCGCTCTCTCTCTCTCTCTCTCTCTCTCTCTCTCGCTCGCTCTCTCGCTCTCTCGCTCGCTCTCTCGCTCTCTCGCTCGCTATCTCTCTCGCTCTCTCGCTCTCTCTCTCTCTCTCTCTCTCTCTCTCTCTCTCTCTCTCTCTCTCTCTCTCTCTCTCTCTCTCTCTCTCTCTCTCTCTCTCTTCCTCTGAGTGGAGACTAAAGTTGCGGAAAAGAGAATTTTCGAAGATTATCGCTGTCTGCGAGTGATGCTGTGGCAGCACACACACACACACACACACACTCACACACACACACACACACACACACACACACACACACACACACACACACACACACACACACACACACACACACACACACACACACACACACACACACAGCTCACCAGTAATGTAGTCTACCACTACCCACATTTACCCCGACGCCAGCAATATTCAAATGACTACAACAACTCTAGTACAAGCACTTCATCATCATTACGAAAATAAATGATCTAAAATCAAAAGATTTTTGGCAGACGGTAATTCAAACTGCTTGTAACATACAGGTGTGCAACATACAGGTGTGCAAATTCATCTAAGTCATTATTAATATATCTAAACAGCACAATTACAAAATTAAACTAAGGCTTATTAACACCCGTGTTTAAACATAAATATATTTGTGATCAATGAATCTATTACTGTCTATACCACATACAAAATGTATCCGGATTGATGAGTCAATCTGATGCAGGAGCAAGACGTTAAAGAAGGAATACCGGATCGTAAGTAGAGAAGGGATTGATGAATCCGTTTATGATGTAGTAAGATATTAAGGAACGAATACCAGTAAGTACAGACAAGGGGCAGAGAAGCTCAATACTCCGGTGGAAAACAATTTCTCTCGTCTCCCAATACAGGCAGGTCTCCTGAGGCTCCTTGGGGGAGGGGGATGAAATATCTAAGAGCTTTAAGACGGTTCCTTCGTAAAAATAAGTTGGCGATAAGAACCCCTAAAAGGAGAGAGAGTTCATTAGGGACTTACAACCATGAGATATTTATTACTTTCTCCAAGTTAGTGGTGAGTCGTCTCTTTCTCTCTCTCTCTTTCCCTTGTCTCTGACACCCACATCTCATTTTCAACGGTGAGCATGCACGCGCGCGCACACACACAGTTGATTGACAGTTGAGAGGCGGGACCAAAGAGCCAAAGCTCAACCCCCGCAAGCACAAATAGGTGACTACACACACACACACACACACACACACACACACACAGGGGCCTGATGACTGAGTGGACAGCGCGCGGGATTCGTAATCCTAGGGTCCGGGGATCGATACCTGGACCCTATAATGGAAACACAAGCTCCATACTTGGGATTCTGACAGCTGATGGGA